TAGATAGATATTGTAGGTAGATACGCTGTGATATTTCTTTACAATTGCACTATGCTTCATGACTGCTTGTGCATATTTTCTTATGCTACAATTAATCGTAATGATATGATATACAATATTACACGAAATAAAAATGCTTGATGAAAACGTGAACAATAGAATAATTTGCATATACAGGGTGCACGATTTATCTGAAGACATTGAAATATCTCGAGAACTATGCATTGGATAAAAAAAAGTGAAAAAAGTTAATGAAAGTTGTTAGTTAGAAAGTTGCTCGAAGGGGGACATCCAATGATACCAAACTCGACTTTCCACCTCACCCCCTGGGGGTGGCGGTTGGGGGCAACTTTGAAATCTTAAATGGAAACCCCCATTTTTTATTGCAGATACGGATTCTACGCCACAAAATACGTAAACTTTGTCCGAAACTTTTTTTTATTCGTGATAGATGGCGCTGTAATCGCAAAAAATTATATTTTCCTCAATTCTCCAGAAATGATCATTGGATTGAGAAATAAAAAATACCTGTTCAATATTTTTAAAGAACATAATAAAAGTTATTCCCCCCCCATCCTCTCGGGGTAGAGTGGGTGATAACGTTCAAATCTCAAATGGGGACCCACATTTTTCATTGCAGAATTAGATTGTACGTGAAATTTTTATTGAAACAATTTTTTTCATTCGTGATAGATAGCGTTGAATTTTATTATATTATTTATTAAAGGATCAATAAATGTATTGAAGTTGAAGGTAAAAATTTCGAACACTTACTCTAATTAATTGAACAGTGAGAGGCAAGGGGACTCACATTAAAAAAGCACCCCGATCTGTGAGAGGCAAAGAGACTCACATTAAAAAAGCACCCGAAGGGAACATAAAACTACTATGTCCTCGTCGTTGTTCCTGTGTAACGCTAAAAGTAGTTTCTCGGAAAAATTCAACGCTATCACGATTGAAAAAAATTGTTTCAATAAAAATTTCACGTACATAACATATTTTATAACTGTATCGTGCATATACAGTCTGTAAAGTAAGAGCGTGTACGGCATAAATGGCATTGGCTTCAAATATCGTCCTAGTTTTTTTGTGAGCCGTATTGTGAGGCATATCTCAAGCACAAGCTTCGAGGAAAAAACATGTACACTTTGAAGCAGCTGACACGACAAATTCGTCTCATTTGGAGGTCTTTACCGAACGAATACGCAGTCAACTTAGTGGAAAGTATGCCTCGGCAGATGCCAGGCAATTATCAATGCCGGTGGTGACTGGACTCATTATTAATGATATTTTAATGGTATTAATAATGGTAACCATTATTAATAGTAAAAGCATTTTTCTTCTCATGGAGTACAACAAATCCATGTACTTAAAATTCATTAAAAATAAATTTTTCTACACATTAACCCGTACACGCTCTTACTTTACAGACTGTAGTAGAAAGTAGCCTCGGAGATGTCAGGCAATTATCAATGCCGGTTGTGACTGGACTCATTATTAATGGTATAGCGTTTTTCTTCTCATGGAGTACAACAAATCCATGTACTTAAAAATCATTAAAAATGAAATTTTTCTACACATTAACCCGTACACGCTCTTACTTTACAGACTGTATGTAAGTTTGTGTTATTCGGAACTTGTCTGTGTAGAGTCCTTATTTGTAACAATGAAGGATTTATAAAATATTCCGTCAGCGAATCCGGTCAACGAAAGTTGAGTGTTTTCATGACTAGATGAACGTTACTCACCAACAGTAAACGCCGAAGCCCCGCTATTTGCAAGTATTATGTGTGAAAAGTCGAAACCCTACAACGTTCAATGGCCTCGATAACAAACGTGATTCAGCTGTAGGTTGAACAAAAATAAGGAGCAACGCAGATTCACCAAGAAAAACAACTTCAACAAAGTAATCGTTCACCATCTGAATCAAACACAGATAATCACAATGAAATCGAGCACGTGGTTCAATAATAAACAATAACCATTATTGGCGTGCGATAAGAGATATAATAAACATTGACTATTATTGGCGTGCATCCACGTTCAAAAATCAAGGACGAGTGACGAGTACCAGATGGTAAAAAGACTTAAAATATATATCGAAAACTCTGTTTGTAAACAGAATGGTACATTATAATCTGTCGAGTATTTTGATGATGGATAGATAATTCAGAAAATATACATTTGAAATTTCTGTACAAATAGCGCGCCCCACACGCATTTGCTACGTTGTTATATATGCGATTTATCTCTGCTCACATGTTTATTTTGTGTAAAGGACTGGTCTTACGATTGTGTTAATAATTTTCTATACGCTAACTTTTATGAAGATGCATATGGAACATTATATGACAACGTTCATGATTTTGAATTGTTAGTGTTATTGTTTTTGTCGGAATCATGAAGGTTACCATGCAGAGCTCCTTGCACAACTTCATAAGTTAACATATAGAAAATCATTAACACAATCGAGCATCGTAAGACTAATATCATATCATTACGATTAATTATAGCATAAGAAAATATGCACAAGCAGTCGTGAAGCATAGTGCAATTGCAAAGAAATATCACAGCGTACCTACCTGCAGTATCTATCTACTTGGGCAGAGCGGCACATATACCATGAAGTTTTCTCATTGCGTTTTGTCCAAAATATTTAATACCATTTTCTAATATTATATATGGATGGATTTGGTATTTAATGTTCTATAATTTTTGTCCTTACAAAAACTTAAAAATTTTGCCAGAGTAATGAGAGGAGGGGGTAGTTCAACATTTGAAATTTTAAAAAACTGAACACATGGTTGCAAAAAGCATGTGTTCTTGCATTGCAAAAGCATTGCAAAACTTTTTTGTCTGAAACTTTTTTTCATATGACTCATAATTTAGAAAATATTTGATAAAAACGATAACGGCTATTTTTTTCAAGGGGTGGTTTCACCCCCTAAACATGCTCCGAAGCCGATATAAAAAAATATGTATCCCTTAGTTTTTGACGCTCTACAACATATCCGAAGCTCATTCAAATCGGTGAGGAACAGTTGTGACACTCTCCTTGTGAGTTGTGCGCCGTTTCGCACGAGGTATCGCATGTTGTCACGATTTGCCGTTGACATCCTAGTGCCTGTTTGAGTGATGATGAAGCGCAAATGTACATATAAATCTTTTTTTAATATGAATGTCTTTTTAGCGTGAACCTTAATCCGGATAAAAAAATAGACCATTTTCTTAAAAAAAACTTGGCTTAAAAAGGAGTTTGATTTCTCGTCGATTTTTTGACATTTTTTCATTTTAAAAATAATTTATTATTAACTTTTTATTGATTTCATAGGTTCACTCCAAAGATATAACTGTTATATTGAATGATTTAAAAGCTGAAGCCGATTCGATTATAAGTTTTTGAGTTCTGATGTCAACCGACGTGTAAAACATGGTTTCGAGAAAAACTCAAAGTTTCGATTACTGTAACGAAGGGAAATCTGGTGGCGGATTCTCCTCCGTTACTAACGGGTCGGCGACCGTCAAGCAGTCGTCGGCCGAGGAACCTCGCCGCGACCCCCCTCGATTAGCCCGACGATCCGAACAGCGGCAAGCGCCGAAGCGGCCCGAAGAGCCGGCCGTAGGAATTCGGGAAAATCCCCCCCCTCCCAGACGGAATCTGGGGGTGAGCCGAACCCCCCGATTACGGAAGATTAGGTATAAATTCCGCGCTCTCGCCGAAATCGAGAGATTGTGGCTAGTCGTCTTCGACCAGCAGCACCGAAAGAGTCTAGTCGTCTTCGAGCAGTATCGCCGAGAGAATCTAGAAGCATCACCGACGAGGATCACCGAGAATCGCGACCGAGGAAGGATCACCAGGAGGAGATCGAGGAAATAGGCGAAGAATTCATTCCGATATTCGCGGGGCACCGACGTCTTCCTCTCCAACCAGCAGAAAATACGGCGATCAAGTTGCGGGACTGTCTACAAGATCGCCGGCCGGCGACAAATCGGTCCGTATCACCGCTAGAAAAAGTGTGCCGTCCCGATTCTCTCCGTCCGGCGACGTCTTCGTCACCGGCGGGTAGAATTTCTAGAAGTTAAGTTTCTGTGCTGTCACCGGTCGGTCCGTATCACCGCTAGAATAAGTGTGCCGTCCCGATTCTCTCCGTCCGGCGACGTCTTCGTCACCGGCGGGTAGAATTTCTAGAAATTAAGTTTCTGTGCTGTCACCGGCCACAAGTCGGTCCGTATCACCGCTAGAAAAAGTGTGCCATCCCGATTCTCTCCGTCCGGCGACGTCTTCGTCACCGGCGGGTAGAATTTCTAGAAGTTAAGTTTCTGTGCTATCACCGGCCACAAGTCGGTCCGTATCACCGCTAGAAAAAGTGTGCCGTCCCGATTCTCTCCGTCCGGCGACATCTTCGTCACCGGTGGGTAGAATTTCTAGAAGTTAAGTTTCTGTGCTGTCAGCGGTCACCGGTCGGTCCGTATCACCGCTAGAATAAGTGTGCCGTCTAGATTCTCTTCGTCCGGCGACGTCTTCGTCACCGGCGGGTAGAATTTCTCTAAGTTAAGTTTCTGTGCTATCACCGGCTACAAGTCGGTCCGTATCACCACTAGAATAAGTGTGCCGTCCAGATTCTCTCCGTCCGGCGACGCACAGTGTGCCGAAAGTCGTTAAACGTGGCCAAAATAGAAAAAAATGGAAATCGTAATTTTTGGTTCCCCTTTACAGTATATTTTCGAGAAGGTCCAAATTAATCAATTGTAGTTAAAGTATATCGGAATTCGACTGTATAACGAAGATATATAGAATGAAAGTTATATATATTGAGATGTAAGAAATAGCACGATTATAATCCTCAGAATGATATATCTGATTTTGCTTCGAAAAAGTTTCCATGATCAAAATGACTTTTCCTGTTTAATATCTGATCCGTTTACTTTCATTTACAAGGAAAATAATATTAGAAAGTCTTATATATATCACATAACAATTAAATGTAAAGAAGTTATATTTTATATACTGTCTATCATCTATTTCGTGGCATACAAAAAATTCACGATCTGCCACAACGTTGTACTTTTGTCAAAACAAAGGTAGGATGTTTATTAATGTTTATACAGAAGTAGAAACAGCGGTATCCAGCGGTTACAAAGATATGATAAATTTTATGAGCAGCGGTCCATACTTATACGCTTACGGTCAAATCCTCTCAGTTGTAGATAATACCGATTCATATCAAAATTAAATTGTCGACCAAAATAATTTACTCTAGTTAAATTTATGACGTTGGCAAACAAACTAACAATTAACCACAAACTTTAAGGGGGAATATACAGTCAGAGGCGCGAAAAAAGGAGGTTTTTCAAGAATTTTTTTAAACTAAATGACTATACTTATTTATTCAAAAACTTTTCTATAATGTTAAGCTATGTTTGAAGAACATTTTGTAATTTTTTTAGCCAATAATAATAGTAATATAAGTTTTAGCGATGACGTAAATGCGAATCGTAAAAAAAAAGATGCATTCTCGTGGACATCATATCTTGGGCAGGATTATCTGAAACAAAAAAAGCAAAAAGATTTCGTTTGTATAGGACTTTGTCTTCCGGGTGAACGAAGGATTTAAAAAAAATTTGAATTTTGAATTTTTTAGAGTACTTTGAAGTTAAGGTCACGATTTTCGCTTAAAAAATTGACCGTATTATGTTTATAAAACGAGTTCTAATTATTGAAAACAAAAATCCTTCGTTCACCCGGAAGCTTAACATGTATAAAATAAGTATGCACAATTTGAAAATGATCGGTGCATTAGATTTTGAGATATCGTGTCCACCAACTTTGAAAATGTGGTTTTGAGAAAAACGCGTTTGAAGTTTTCAGTATGAATAAAACCTCCATAACAATTTTTTTTCAACTTACACAGAATCGTCTATTCCAGGACCATAAAATAAGTCCTCGACGCCTTCCAGAATGTCCAATTGTTCAGAATTTTTCTGCCTTTGTAGGATTCTTGCCTCCCGCGTAGCGAGTTTCGCTCTATACTCGGCGGCGTTAATTCGTTTTTCGTCCAATTTTCGGCAATAATCGACAGAATTACGTCCTAATTTCACTCCCATTGAATAAAGAATAGCTAGATGACTCGATGATCCTTCGTTAAAAACACACGCTGAAATTTTAGCAGCAATATCTACTATTGTAGAGCCACTTGGAACAATTTTTGGCGTAATTTTCCAAATCAACTGATTATAGCTCTCATTGTTATTTTGGTCGAAGCCGCCAATACATCTTTTTAGTAAGGTATCCGAGCTCAAATCTTCGTAAACAGGTCGAATTGCTTGCAATATGTCATTACTAAAATTGTCATATGAGTGCACGAACGATTGAAGCTTGTCCATGGCTGCAGCACGCTGCCACTCACACCAAGAATCTTCGCCAACTGGACACATATCGTGTTGAGGATTCTCATTTGTAGAAGCGTAGTGGTAAAATGTGGCCCAAATACCTTTTTTCATGTCCTCAATATTCTCACAATTACGTCGAATTGCTAGTCCGTAATAAACCGTGAGCTTGTCTATCGTTTTTCCGGTTAATTTGCCTTTTCCTCCCAAAACTTTTCTTTTTATTCTTTTCTTATTTTTCGTTTCAACTTCAACGACAGTGTTATTGACGATATTACGGAGGCGAGCTCCCATTCTTTTTTGGACATGCCCAACACATTCTTTCTTGAAAATTTCAAAATCATTGCCATAATCAACTTTTTGTAATATTCCAGTAAATGTTTTCGAGTCTCCGTCTCCGATATAATAACGATATTTTACACCGTATTTTTCCTCAGAACGGTTAAACATTTCTATTACCGCATCCACTTCCATTTTGCCAGAGGAACTTGTATGATTTGCGGAGCAATTTTCCTTATGTGTTTCGTACCATTCTTTGTATTCATTCTCTTTGACATTCATTTTTTTACTCCAAACTTCACACATTTTACAGTAGATACTTTTTACGCATACATCAATAATTTTACTACTATAATAGCCAATTAATGATGCTACACCAAACAATGAATTAAAACCACGCTTTTGCCACGTTCCGTCTCCCGATATAGTTAGTTCATTTGTATAATCTAAATTGTATTTCTTACATGTTTCTTTTTTTTCTTCTTCTACAGCATTTGAAAAAATTTTCTCAGCAACGGTATTCACACACTCTTTCATATTTTTAACCATAATATCGTAAGTTGTTTGATTTAAAAATGGTGGCAGGTCCATTAAACCGCAAAACTTTTTACACCCTTCTAATCCTAGTCCTAAAATTCTCATCACGTAAATAAATCTGCGATTTATTTCATAAGTATGGCCGATAAAAGGGCAAGAGGATATGTAATTGGGCGGACACGTGTTACACATTACAGTAATTTTGAATCCGAGGCCACGATCACTGCACGTTTGAAATTGTACATCACCATTGCATATCTTGCACTTTACTACATTCGAAATGACCGAAAAAACTGTAAAAAAATTCAGAATTCTGTATTCTACAGTATTGTCTGTTGGCACATGCATGTCCTCGAGATACTTTATTTTTTTTGCAGATGTACTGAAACTTAATGAGTCAGTTTCGGCCGTTTTTGGATTAAAACTCTGCCTCCGTTTTTTAAACCTGTCTTTTCGAGCTGCACTATTTTGCCGGGTATTTCTGTTCACTTTACGATCTTCCATAGTAGAAAACGGCACGAAAATCTTTTGCACAGGCGCACAACAAGCGTACAATTCAAAGACTGATGCGAGACTAACGGTTCTACCGGTCTTGAAAACAAACGTGTTTATACCTGCGCCCTACGTGCCGTTCGTGCTTCAACGGGTCGGACGGGCGGGTCTTCTAGACGCTCTAACTTACTCAGTTTTGCTCGGATCAACTTGAAATTTTGACACAACATTCCTGAGATGTTGTACTTTCATATAAAAAAATAAAAAAGAACCATTTTTTCAAATTTCTGACTGTATATTCCCCCTTAAACTTTTATTTACTTCGAACGCGATAACAACTGTTTAATAATGCAACCTAGTAAACATTTTATGTCGAATATGTAACATATATGTTTAATGTTATACACAGAGATGTTTCTGCTATATATTTGACTTTTGTTACATATCTGAAACGCAACAAAGCTTATATATGTAGCAGAACCATCTCTGTACATAACATTTAACATATATGTTACGTATATGACAAAAAATGTTTACCGTGAACGTTTACGGGGAAAATTGTAGTTTTTAACGTAAAATAAACAAATCATAAATTGATAAACAACATAAACAATATGAATATAAAAAACAAATAACAATAAAAAATATAAATATGAAAATTATAAATATAAAAGCTAAAGGTTATATAAGATAAACATTTTTTGTTGCTTTGTTTTTATATATATAAACTATTTTATAACATTACCGTGACAGAAATTTCCTCCTAGGTAGAAATGGGAATCCTTATGGGTAATGGGTATAGCGCGTATATAAATTTGGTATATAAATTTGGTACCTATTGTTATGAGACAGCTCAACTATACATCTGTTTGTATAGCTGGTACTTTATGCCCGCTTCTGTACATAAATTACTTGTACATGGGGCTAGCATAATATCAGCATCTATTTTACCGATTGGTCTTCTTTCTGAGGAAGCTCAAGAAACTAGGAATAAGGATTGCAGAGATATAAGAGAATATCATACCAGAAAAATATCGAGAATCGCGACGAACGAGGATTTATTTAAAAGACTTTTGCTTTCCTCAGACCCTGTCATTTCGTCCTTCAAACAAACTTCTGTTAAAAAAGCCTTTTCCTACAGAAGTTCTTCAATTGTTAGCAGCTCCAACTTTGGAAGATACAGTTTTATTGCATGGTGAATAACTATATATCATAAAATAATACAAAAATATGAAAACAAAAAAAAATAAAATAAACAAAAATAAAAAAATATAAAAACAAAAATATACGTGTTATTTACTTAAACAATATGTCAATATTATTTAGTTATTACGCTATTATGTTACTTTCGTATTTTTTCCCGTAGAATCGAGTAGTGTAATCAGTTTTGTTCTACAGTTATTATTTAGTTATTTGTTTATAACAATTCATTGCAACATTGATTTTTGCAACTTCCTTTTTACGAGAAAAATGACTCCTCATGCTACAGTTCTATTTCCAATTATCAGTTTTTGGCTAACCTTCCTGGTTCAGCCATAATTAATTTTGGCCACTTTTCGGGGCTTTCGGCACACTGTGCGACGTCTTCACCGGCGAGTAGAATTAGTACAAATAAGTATCTGTGCTCGCTACAATCTGAATTCGGAAGGAAGTGTACAAAGACAATAAACGGTAGCCGACCGGTGCCCACTCGTAAAGATCACAAATAATTACGTGCAGAAAACCTTTCTCTCCCGCCAGTAACCACCGTCGTCACGCGCGCCCGAGCGATCGCCGACAAGGGGGCGCGCCGATCAGCCCGAACGAACGAACGAAAACGACGCGAGAAGGACGCGCGTCCGAGCCAGCTCGCCCTACGCCGGCGAACCGGCGAGCGCTCGCGAGCAACCCCCGCGAGAGAGCGAAGACGACGCGCGCCCGGGAAGAGAGGTCGCGGCGTCACATTACTATTTTTCATACTTATAGTATGTTTCTGGCTAATCTCTACTATATTATTCTGGCTAGTAGAATAACCCTTCTGAATCTTCGTAAAAATCGTAATTTCTCTACATTACTTCAGCTGGCCATACGAGCTCTCTTTGTAGTATCAGTACTCTCGATTTCTGCATGTGAGTCGCCGTTTATTCGTGTAATCAGCAAACAACTTACATTGCTGATCAATAATTATTCCCATCGTCTCCATACCTTTTAGAATGGTAACGTAATCCTCGTTAAACACTCCTGCAATCAAATATGCACAAGATTCGAGAAAGAACTGAGTTCGAACGACCATTAGAGATTACAATCTTGTTGAGGATATACACACATATAAAGACCACTATACATGTAGAAAATCCTGTTTCTTTATTTGTTTCTTTGTTTGCTCTGTTCCTTCGACAACGAAAAATTCCTACTTGCTTCGACCCGTACCTGATAGCGTCGAACGGTCGGACGTTAAATCGCTTATAACTTTGTTAATATTTCGAATTTCGAAAAAACAACATATTCTTAAGATGTACTATAAAAATATGTAAACAAAATTTTTTCGATCTTCCGAAAGTTCTGGACAAAATAAGGCCCCCTTAATTAAAAATACACTTTATTAAAATCTCCTGCATACATATATAGAATATTGAAAGGAAAATAGAAAGAGAGAGAGAATGAAAAATATTTCTCTCCCTCCTAACAATTCGTTGCCGGCTATTGTTCTTCTTTCGCGCAAAGCGCATAAACGGCAAGTCATTGCATAAAATTCTGCTTCTGTTCTGCCTACTTGTCTTTCTTTGACTTGACCGCTGCGCTGTCCTTCGTGCACGCACGCGTTCCGAACAAGAGCCTCTTGATCTTTCGCAGAATAAACAGTGCGGCCAAAAGCACCGCGCTAACCACGAACAATAAGAAGGCATAAACGTCTAGTAAGTGATGTTGCCACCAAGAGAGATGCATGGCCGGTGACTGAAGGAAGTTACCATGTTTCACAACATATTCCACCCAATATATAGCCGTATCCAGAGCATTCATGGGACGATCGAGAAACAACCTCGAGAGTTTCTGTACGTTCTCGCTAAAACAAACAAGGAAAAGATGAATTCGCCAGAAATCGATTCGGAGACACGGGATTGGGGAGTAACGTATTAGCGTTGCATGTTATTTTTTCCCGGTAATGTTTTCGATAACCAAGTGCTGAAGGCATTCCTTGTGCTGAAGTTCTCCTCCCCTTTCTTTTCTCGTTAGAAACAACAACAGCGACGTAATTACATTTTTCGGCCAACAGTAACGGTAACGGATGCAACCCCGTTACCTCGCGCATGCTGAATTCACCCGCATGAAATGCGGGCGAGGCATAAAGGGTCTTCGCAAGATCGAAGGTTGAAAAAGTGGCGGAAGTACTACTGTGATCAAAAAGTATCCGAACTTTATTTTCAAAAATCAAAATTACAATTCAATCATCAAAATTCTTATAGTCTCCTTCAAAGTAGTCCCCATTGCTTGCAACGCACATATGCCAGCGTTTGATCCAGTCCTGGAAACATCGCTCATATGCGGCAGATGGTATGGCCTTCAATTCACGCAGCAATTTTTCTTTGATGTCTTCAATTGCAAGCTGTCCGCGATGTGTTTTTTTCAGTAGAGGGAACAGGAAAAAGTCGCAGGGGGCCATGTCTGGTGAATACGGTGCTTGCGGAGCGACATTCGTTGAGTTTTTGTCAGAAATTCACGTACAAGTTTCGAGATATGCGATGGTGCGTTCAGGGTTTTCGGAATCAAGCGCGATGCGACCTGTTTCATGTCCAGTATATTGGACAAAACGTGCTGGCACGATCTAAATGATATTCCAACTTCATCTGCTACTTCTCGCACATTCATCACATCGACGATTTTGGAACACCAATTCTTTCACTTTCTCAATGTAAGCGTTATCCGTTGACGTTGATGATTTTCCAGAACGTGCATCGTCTTCAACGGATTCTCGTCCTTCTTGAAAGTTCTTAAATCACTCAAACGTACTTGTTTTCGATAAACAATCATCGCCATAAGCTTTTTGCAACATTTTGAATGCGTCTGTGAACGAAATTTCGTTTGCAACAAAAAATTTCAAACAAATTCTTTGCTCCATATTTTTCAACATCGTAAAAATTGCCGTGCATAATAATCTTCACTGACATAAACAACTGCTATTTTCAAACGGCTTGAAGGAACGCCATGATTTTTTCACCAAATGTGAAGGACATGTGTACCAACTTAAGAAAGCAAACGGATTTGATTTACAGTTTAGCCGCGATTTTTAAAAAATAAAGTTCGGATACTTTTTGATCACAGTAGTATCCTAACGACTTGTGCACTATTTCGTGAGTAACGATAACGATAATTAGCCACATCTCAAAATGAGTAATGGCGACTGTGACGGATCGTTTCGGAAAAAGCAGCTCGATTCGCCCGATTCGTCGTTTTGCGAAATGCAAAACCGTCGAAACTAGGAGAGCTCACGACCGACGCGACGTGTTTTCGTCAACATCACCGAGACCGTCATCAGTCCGACGCGAAATCTCGGTGTCTGTTCAAGTTGAAGGCACGTCGAATTTTCTGCTAGATTTTCCATTTCCCCACCGCCTACTCTCGTTCTGCACTGATAAATCATTTGGCCCTTTATTCGCGCGCAATACGCATCCGAGAGTTAAGCAAGATTCGATTACAATAGCACGCGAGTACGCTCTGTTTGTCTAGTGATATGTAACGCGGCGCAGCTGGTTGCGGATCGATACTGACGGGCTAATAAGATTTAAAGCAACGAGCCTCCAGGCTCTTGAAGTCCTTTTAATACGTGGTTCCTGGTTATACAACTTTACTGCATTAACTTACATCAACAGTGGAGTTGCGTTTCTCCCGCTAAACAAAGTTATTCCATTCGCCGGCGGGAATGAACCTATGACCGTGAGGTCAAACGAGTAGAAACATGACGAGGGAGGGGGGAGGAAAGGGGCGAAACGAAATCGGAAAATACATACAGGAAAAAACGTATTAGCAGATCGAGCGAAAATAAACTGAGCAGATAAGAAAAAGAGGAAGAAGGGAAAGAAAAAGAGAGAGAGAGAAAAAGAGAGAGAGAGAGAGAGAGAGAGAGAGAGAGAGAAAGAACATACAACTAGAAGATACAATTATTTCTTATGAAATCTCCGTATTTTAATAATCGCCATATGTTTGTACCTGTCCGTCTGCTTCTTGAGACTCCAAATATGTGTGCATTTTTGCGTTTATTAGAGATGTGCGAATCAAGAATTTTTATGTCGAATCGAATCGAATCTATGAAATTTCATTCGAATTCGAATCGAATCGAATGAAATCAAATCGAATCATTAAAAAATTTAACATGACTATTAAACATATAAATAATGATGGAAGATTTTAATATAAAAGGGAATATTAATATCGTAATATCATCTTAAAGTAAAATATACAGGGTCCTCAAAAAGTCCGGGAACGCTAAAATATTTCGAAAAATATGGAAGATACGAAGAAATGTTTGATACAAAAGTTATGGGGCTTAAAAAGATCGATTTAGTAGTCATATCTACCAGGTGTGTCGGTAATTCCTTTCCGGTTTTTTCGCTAAAGAAAACACGTTATTTACAATGGATAGTTAAAATATATTTATTCAAAGTATTGGCCATTTGATTCTATACATTTTGCCCATCTCTCAGGCAATTTATGGATGCCATTTCAAAAGAACTGTTTCTCCTTTGAGCTAAACCATTCATCGAGCCATTTTTTAACTTCTTCGAAATCGGCGACGTACTGCTCAGCGCGTGCCCCATCGATGCGAAAAGGTGGTAGTCGGATGGAGCCAGGTCTGGAGAGTACGGCGGGTGCGATAAAACTTCCCATCCAAGTGATTTCAACACTTCTTTGACTGGTTTTGCTGTATGAGACGGCGCGTTGTCATGCTGCAAAATCACCTTATCATGTCTTTGAGCGTATTGTGGACGTTTTTCGACCAATGCACAGTTCAAATCGATCATTTGTTGTTAGTAGCGATCAGTATTAACTGTTTCTCCAGGTTTCAACAGTTCATAATATACGACACCAACCTGGTCCCACCAGACACAGAGCATGGTCTTGCGACCAAAGCGATTTGGCCTTGCAGTCGATGGGCCGCCTTCGCCAGGTGATAACCATGATTTTTTTCGCTTGGGATTTTCGAAATAAATCCATTTTTCATCACCCGTTACTATTCGATGCAGAAATGACTTCCTTTCATACCTTTGAAGCAGCATTTCACTGACGATTTTTCGATTTTCCAATTGCCTGTCATTCAATTCATGTGGCCAGGTGATAACCATGATTTTTTTCGCTTGGGATTTTCGAAATACGAGGGCGGTCCGATAAGTACTTAGCCTCACCGCCCGATGGCGCCACTATCGCAAGAGAAATTTACTATCGTGTAGTACATTCTCGTAGACGGCTACTGTCGAAATTTCAGCCGAATCGGACTCGTAGTTTTGTTTTGACCGCGTGTGGAAGCGGGCGTGTCCGCGGATTTTAGAAAAATGGAAAAAGAGCAATATCGATCGGTGATTCGATTCTTGTTTTTGGAAGGGAAATCGCGCAGCGAAATCAAAGAGCGCTTGGATGCTGTGTACGGTGACTCTTTTCCTTCGATGGCGACCGTCAAAAATTGGTTTAACGAGTTTCAACGTGGTCGCACGTCGGTTTTTGATGAGCCACGCCCAGGTGCCCCGAAAACGGCTACCACGGAGGATAACATGACAAAAATCCACGATCTCGTATTGGCAGACCGCCGATTGAAGGTGCGCGAGATAGCTGAGACAGTAGGCATCTCAAAAGACCGTGGGCCATATCCTGCATGAAATTTTGGGCATGAGAAAGCTGTCGGCGCGATGGGTGCCGCGTTTGCTCACTCCGGACAACAAGCGCAACCGTGAGACCACTTCAGAGCAGTGTTTGACGCTGTTTAAGCGCAATCCGAAGAAGTTTCTGCGTCGTTTCGTGACCGTCGACGAAACATGGATCCACTGGTACACACCAGAGACCAAGGAACAGTCGAAACAATGGACTTCACCCGGCGAACGTGCTCCGAAGAAGGCGAAGACTGTCCTATCGGTCGGAAAGGTGATGGCTACCGTTTTCTGGGATTCACAAGGTGTGATCTACATCGACTACCTGGAGAAGGGCAAAACGGTCACAGGGCTGTACTATGCCGAATTATTGGGCCGATTCAACGCCGAATTGCAGAAAAAACGGCCCCATTCGGCGAAGAAAAAAGTGCTCTTCGACCGTGACAACGCACCGGCTCATACCTCCGCCCTCGCCACGGTCAAATTGGTCGAATTGGGCTACGAACTGCTGCCCCATCCACCGTATTCTCCAGATTTGGCCCCGTGCGACTTCTTTTTGTTTCCAAACTTGAAAAAGTCACTCGCCGGGCAGAAATTTGAGTCGAATGAGGAGGTCATCGCCGCCACGGAGGCCTACTTTGCAGACCTCGAGAAAACGTATTTTTCAGACGGGTTAAAGAAGTTGGAGCATCGCTGGGTCAAGTGTATCGAGCTAAAAGGAGACTATGTTGAGAAATAAATCGCCACTTTTCCAAAATTTTCGTTTTTCTTTTGTAGGCTAAGTACTTATCGGACCACCCTCGTATGTGACGGCCGAACTCCGCTGTTCGGTCGTTGCTACGCGTTTCGCGCCGATAATGCTCGTCGGAGTCCAGGTTCGAGGAGGAGTAAAGCAGCGAGACACTTGAAAATGGTAATAGAAATAACTTAGCTTTATTCTATGCTTACTGAGATACAAGAGTTCGGCCCCGAAGGCGTTGTCGCGGGTCGCGTCTATTAGGCGCGTCGGTACGGTACGGTGAGCGGTACAAGCGCGCGTACGGATGGATAGGCCGCGCGGAAGGCGGGGCCTATTGCGCGACGCGTGTAGACGGTAACGACGGTAACGGCGCGGTGATCGGTCTCGCTTCGCGACGCTGGGCGTCTCGGACAATTATCGCCCATACACTCTCGCAATCGCTCGCGTATAGATGGTCGCCGGACCGGAGATTTCGACTCCCGGTCGAACGTACGCACGCGAGTCGCGGAATACGCGAAATGATTTCGTCCGTCGAGGCCGAGGACTCTCGACAGAGAAGGCGTACGCACCTTCCCTTTTCCCTACGTTCGCAGAGGAAAGCGACCAAGTGCTGCGGACACTCAGCGGAGACGGCGGACACACCGTCCCGGGTTTTTGGTCGCTAGACGGATCGCCTAAAGGCTGAGTACGCTCAGCGGAGTTCGCCGACGGACGAACCCCTGACTCAAGGCGGTGGGTTAAGGCGAGAGACTGTCGAGTACGCTCGACTGAGCATGCGCACGCACGAGCCCAGGAAGACGGGAGACGGCTAAGTATCGAGTACGCTCGATCGAGACTGCGGACGCACAATCCCGTGTTCTTAGTCGCCGGTCGGATAGTCGGAAAGCGGAAGGCAGAGCGAAACGGTCCGGATATTCTCTCTTTCGGCATGAAGTGTCTAGATCGAATCGGCGGTACGGATCGGTCTGGTCTCTAGAAGCTCGATCGCCGTCGTTTTATAGTTGTTCGCGCTACGATTGATACGGCGGCGATCGTGCGGCGCGCCTATCGGCGCGTGATCGCGGCCGCGCGCGCTAGCGGCGGCGCGAAATAACGGCGCGCGATCGTTTCGATCGTTTAGGGTGGCGCAAAGCGCCGTTCTTCGGCCCGACAGGTGATCGGTCGGGCCGGTAATAACGAGGTGCATTTGCGCCTCGTTACAAATAAATCCATTTTTCATCACCCGTTACTATTCGATGCAGAAATGACTTCCTTTCATACCTTTGAAGTAGCATTTCACTGACGATTTTTCGATTTTCCAATTACCTGTCATTCAATTCATGTGGCACCCATCTTCCCATCTTTTGGATCTTTCCCATCGCTTGTAATCGTTCACAAATTGCTACTCGGCTCACATTCAACTTTTCTGCCAATTGTTTTTGAGTTTGTGTTGGGTCTTCATCCAATAACTCCTGCAATTCCGCATCTTCAAATGTTTTTGGCCTACCAGGACGTTTTTTGTCTTGAACGTTGAAATCACCACATTTGAATTGTCGAAACCACGTTTCACATGTTCTTATGGTTGGAGCATGTTCACCGTAAGTCTCTACCAGCAAACGATGACTTTCAGCGGCTTTTTTCTTTTGATTAAACAAGAAAAGTAATGCATGCCGCAAATGCACGTTTTCAGGCACAAAACTCGACATTTTCAAAAAATTATTAATCTATAACGCTGTTATTTTGGCGGAACGTAACTTGTGTAGTTTTGAGGTTAATGTCAGTAGAATAAAATGACATATATATCAAATCATAACATTGCATACTTATGGCTAGTGACATCTGTTACAAAAACCGGAAAGTAATTACCGACATACCTGGTATTTAGTAGTCCGTTTGACCATAGGTAGCATTGCTAAGGTAATATGAAGGTCAACTTTGTTTTTTTAAATGGAACCCCCCATTTTTATTGGAAATTCTTGTAGCTTATCTCGAGAGCTTTCCAAAACACTATAATGAAGTCATTTTTTATTAAGTTCTTTCCGAGTTATGACACCTGAAAGTTACAATTCCGCCGGCATTAGCATTACCCAAAGTGTACCGCGCGGAGGTTGCACGGTCGGATTTACACCTCGCGCGCGTGCGTTCGTGCGTGTGCGTGTGCGTGCGCGTGCGCGCGTGCGTGTGTGTGTGCGTGTGTGTGTGTGTGTGTGTGTGTCACTACAGAGATCAGGACCCTACGGTTCGTCACTCCCGCAGTATTTGAAGACTTCAAACCTTTTCCGTAGTATGTGTAGGTAACATTTTTCAAGCTATTGTTTTTTACTTTTTCAATTAATCAAATGTTCAAAATGTCGTCCTTCTACTGGTTGGCAATGAGCTAAACGTTCATAGAAACTATTGATCACATGACTTATTTATTTTAAAGTGATCAGAGATGCTTCCTGCATTATTCGATCCTTCAGATCTTCCAAATTACATGGTTTTGTCGCATAAACCTTATTTTTGATGTGTCCCCAAAAAAAGAAGTCAAGAGAAGATAGATCAGGTGATCTAGCAGGCCACTCAATGGCATCTTTCCTACCTATCCATCGATTAGGAAAAAAACAGTTAAAAATTCTCGAATTCATATCGCAAAATGAAGTCCTGCTCCATCTTGCTGGAATCAAACATGTTTGCGTCAAATAAATTTCCAATTTCAGGAATGATATGATCTCGCAATAAATTTTCATATTTTTCAGCGTTTAAATCACCATTTATGAAAAATGGGCCTATAATACCGCAACTACAGATCCCTGTTCAAACATTAAATTTTTGTGGATATTGTGTGCGAAGATCACTCATCCAATGTGGATTTTCGTCACTCCAATATCTACAATTATGACGATTAACAGCACCATTTATTTGAAATGTGGCTTTATCAGAAAAAATAACAAAATTCAAAAAGTTAGCATTATCATCACATCGATGCATCAAGTTCTTCACAAAACTGAATTCTTCTATCAAAATCATTTTCCATAAGTTCTTGAGCGATAACAATTTTATACCGATAATATTTATGCTATTTTAAAATGTTAGAAACGCTGCCTTCACTGATATCATGGGCTAGTGCTGTTTTTGATACGGACAAATGAGGATTTTCCTGAAATGATTGGAGAACATCCAAAGTCTTATCATCATTAGTTGCGGATTTTGGCTTTTCGCTGCGAGATCGGTCCTTAATTGTTCCCGTTTCAAAAAAGTGAGTCACTGTTCTGCAAACGGTGGATTTAGAAATAGAATCGAGATCAGGATGTGTAACACTGAATATAATAATAGATCAGTTACTTCTTGATATGATCTAATACGGTTACCAAATCCTCGATAAACAAGTAGCAATATTCTTTCTTTTTCGGTCAACATTTTTCAGAGAAAAATGTGATATTATAGCCGGAAAAAGAAACAAAAGAGACAAAGAGCGAGATACAAGCGAACGCAACTCGTTTTTAGAATATGTGGACTGAGAAGCATCTTTGATCGCACTTCCGCGCGGTACATTTTGGGTAATGCTAATGCCGGCGGTACTGTAACTTTCAAGTGTCATAACTCGGAAAGAACTTAATAAAAAAAGACTTCATTATAGTGTTTTTTGGAAAGCTCTCGAGATAAGCTACAAGAATTTCCAATAAAAAATAGGGGGTTTTATTTAAAAAAACGACCTTGACCTTCATATGACCTTAACAACGCCACCTATGGTCAAACTGATATGACTACTAAATAAATTTTTTTAAGCCTTACAACTTTTATATCAAACATTTTTTCATACCTTTCATATTTTTCGAAATATCCCGAATTTTCTGAGGACCCTGTATATTTAAATATTTTAAAGTAATTTATAATTAAGTTATTAATTATAAGTTAAGTTAATTACAAGTTAAGTTCAATACAGGCCCAGATGGCCCGTTTTGTAGCTGATGCGCGCAAACGCTAAGTATTTGATTCGTATTCGAATCTTCGTGATTCGAAATTTTCGAATTATTCGAATAACATTAAATTCGATTCGATCCGATTCGAATTTGAATAATTCGCACATCTCTAGTGTTTATGTTTGCGATACGACGAATGTTATGATTTCATTAATCCCCGCTGAACAATTAGTAGTACTGGACGTATAACGCTTACTTTTTCTGTCAGTCGTTGTCTTCGAGTACTCACCGATAAGTGGGATCCTTCAGGATAGTATTCAATGCCGATGTTAATTTCTCCTCGGTGACGTCGTATATAGAGTTCAGCGAGATAGCCACCTTCTTCCTGACGTAAGACTGGATATTGACACGTTGATCGCCAAATAGAGGGATGCCGATCATGGGGACTCCGTAAGAGATTGCTTCCTGCGTTCCCATGAGCCCGCCATGTGTAATGAAAGCCCGTATGTTTTTGTGTTCTGCGAGAATTGAGAACGATAGGTTTACAGCATGGTAAAAATATCATGCGGTCGGGCGTCCGACAGATATCGGACGGGAACGGCAAAAACAATGGGGAACAATCTGAATGCAACCTGAAAGGATCCTCTCGTTTTTCTTCCCCAGCTTCAGCTGCTTCGCGAATAAATTGCGGTGACGCAATTACGTCGTTCTATCAAGCATTAATTTTCAAGACATTTTTTTTCGATTCTTCTTTTTTTTCTCTCGCAAGCACAGCGAAAGCGGTTCAAGTTTCTGACTGTAAATACAGCGTCCGCTAGTTTCCTCGTGAATGATTAAATTGCAACGCTGATTCCGCTTAATTCGCAGTAGCATTTTTGAAAACTCGTCGACGCGGACGCGTCGCCACAAGTACAGAGCTTAAAATTTTTGCGGAATTCCTATCGCGCGGGAAGTCGGCCGAAGAGAAGGATATTTTTTGTAAAGTTGTTCGATTTATTAGGTGTACAAATGAATAATCCAAATTATTTTAAGCAGTTATGAAATTAATTTTAAATTGAATAGATTTTCCCGCTCTTTTGTGATTATGCAATGTTGATATACAGCTATTAAAAAGAACATATAGTTTGGCGAAAGGCCCAACATAACCTTCAAAAGTATTCAGTTCAGTACAGTTGAAAATGGCAACAGATAAGGTGCATATCCGACACTGCATTCTTTACGAATTCCAACAAGGAAAAATGCTGCAGAGAGCGTGCGAATCGATTTGTTTCTTTCTCGGCGAAGGTGTTGTATCGTACGATGTGTGCGCATTTTGGTTTAAGTGGTTTAAAAGCGATAATTTCAGCCTAATCGACAAACAACGCCCTGGAGGCCTTCCGAAGTGCGATAATGATGATTTGGAACAACTGCTCGCTGAGAATTCGGCACAAACACAAAAGAGCTTGCAGAACAGTTGGGAGTAACGCAGCAAACGATTTCCAAACGCCTACATGAGATGGGAGAGATCCAGAAAGGAAAATGGGTTCCACATGAACTCACTGAAACCAACAAAAATCAACGAGTAGCAGCGTGTCTTTCTCTTCTCAATAAGCAGCGTCGAAAGTTTTTCTTGTGGAAAATCGTTATGGGCGATGAGAAATGGATACTTTATGACAGTCCGAAACGCAGAAAGTCATGGGTAAATCCCGGCGAATCATCAAAATCGGTCGCAAAACCCAGTCACTTCGGAAAGAAGGTTCTTCTCTGCATTTGATGGGATATCAAGAGTGTGCTTTATTATGAGTTGTTGGAACCGGGTGAAACAGTTACTGCGGATTGCTACCAACATCAATTAATCTGCTTGAGTCAAGAATTGGAATGAAAACGCCCGTATATTGGCAAAGGAGAACGTCCAATGAAATTGTTGCATGACAACGCCAGGCCACACATTGCTTCTAATACAAAAGACACCATAATGAGTCTTGGCTGGGACGTCTTGCAGCACTCGGCATATTCACCAGACATTGCTCCATCCGATTATCATTTGTTCCGGTCGATGCAACACGCCTTGTCCGATATGCACTTCCAATCAGTGGATGAGATTCGAAAATGGCTTAACGACTTTATCGTGTCCAAAGACGTAACATTTTTCCGAGATGGAATTCATCAGCTGCCTGAAAGATGGCTTAAAGTTATAGAAAGCAACGGAGAATACTTTGATTGAACAATTTAATTTACTTTATTTTAAAATAAACCTTGAATGTAGCTGAAAAAATTGGATTATTCATTTGTACACCTAATATATGCAAATGCCGTCGCGTGCTGAAAACACGCCAATTCATACGGAATACAAATGACCGTTCTAATGACGATTAATAAGAAACGGGCTAAAATCTAGCACCTTGATACTGCGGTCGCGCAACGGACCCCGTAATTACGTACTAAGAACGGCGACTTGCGGAAACCACGGCTGTATCATCACGTTATTTGGCAATCCCGGGAGCAGATCCTCCTTCCTTGCAATTTTCATCAACACGCGGACCGGCGCAATCTTCTTGAACGACGCGTAGAATGTTTCTATCAACTCCTTAGAGAAAGATTCGATCCTGACCATGGAGCCGAACGTGAAATATATGCAGCCGTCCTTGCTTTCGTCCAGCCATTTCTGCATTTCCTGCAGACAGATCTCTTTAGAATGAATAATTCGTGACGATTATTTCTAAGCCCCGGCTACAAAGGGCTGTCGTGAAATCTTCAATCTGCGTTGTTCAAAGAGTAAGAAAATCTTTGGAAAGAGAATTTAATTAATAGCCACTTTGTCAATTTTTTCTTCGCGAAGAATCTTTAAAATAGAACCTCTCAGGTGTCGCTTGGAACTTTTATAATGAAAATAAAAATCCAATGTGTCCTCCGATGACGTTGAAAGAAAATCGTTGAATAATCGTTGAATAAATCGTGAAAAATTTATGATATTTTTTGATGATTATATTATATTCGTATACAGTGTAAATCAGGCTTTGATTATTTCTCCCTAACATTAATCGGGCCGTAATAGGAATAGAAAGACAAGGGCCCTGCAAGATGTATAACAAATAGTTTAACGGGTCCTTATAAAGCAATACTGATAGGACCCTATAAGGAAATATTTTTATTATTGCTTGAGTAAAAATATTGGTTTTTTTCATTCTGAGAAATTTAGACTATAATTTCTTTATTTATTTACAACCTTAGTATACAACAAGAATTTCTTATTTTGAAAATATAGCATACCTCACAATAAAATATAGCATTCTTTATATATAAAAATCCTGCTACTATTTTTATTAAAGTTTACTGCATTTTAAAACGAAGGCAATACTAGAAAAGTTCTTGGAAGAAGCTAATGAATATGGCAACTAATAAAACTAATAAAATTTGTTTTTAATATAATTAAAAAATCTTTAAAAAAATTAGATAGAGCGTACTTACTAAAACAATATTAAACTATGACAATTTTATTACACGCTTTAGATCTTATTAATTTTTTATAACAGAACTTGACTTTGTATATCTACTAGGTGCGCAACTAAGTTTCCGGGTTTCACACATGGATAGCGCTAACGACACATGTAGTCGACATACATGTCTGAAGTTGTGTTTTTTTTATAGCTTGGACATCTGTTAACAATAACCAGTAGTAATACCAACACATATCGCAACGCAAAAATATTTTTTCTAACAACAAAGATGTCGAGTTTCGTACCAAATAAACAGCATTTGCGGGAAGCTTTGCTTTTCTGCTTTAATTTGAAAAAAAGTGCAGCTGAAGCACGTCGTTTGCTTGAGGAGGCCTACGACGAACATGCATCATCGAAAACTACCTGTGAAGATTGGTTTAAACGCTTCAGAAGTGGCGATTTCGACACTGAGGACAAGGAGTGCTCCAGAAGACCAAAAACAATTGAGGACGCCGATCTGCAAGCGTTATTGGATGAAGATGATACGCAAATACAAGATCAACTTGCGGAGGCATTAACATGACTCGCCAAGGTATTTCCAAACGTTTACATACCATGGGAAAAACTCAAAAGGAAGGAAAATGGGTGCCGCATGAGTTGACTGAGAGACAGATGGAAAATCGAAGAGCCACTTCCGAAATTATGCCTTTGCGACATGAAAGAAAGAATTTCCTGCATCGAATTGTTACTGGCGATGAGAAGTGAATATATTTTGAGAATCCCAAACGCAAAAAATCGTGGCTTTCACCTGGAGAAGCATCAACATTGACGGCACGGCCAAATCGCTTCAGAAAGAAGACAATGCTCTGCGTTTGGTGGGACCAGAAAGGAATCGTGTACTATGAGCTGCTGAAACCGGGCGAAAATGTCAATGGGCATCGCTACCGACAACAACTGATCAATTTGAACCATGCATTGCTCGAAAAACGGCTAGAATGGGACACGAGACACGAACGAGTGATATTGCAGCACGACAACGCTCCGTGCCATTGCACTTCCATCGTCCAGGACACCATCAAACCGCTGAAATGGGATCTGCTACCGCACCCGCCGTATTCGCCAGACCTGGCCCCTTCCGATTATCACTTGTTCCGGTCGATGGCGCATGGCTTGGCTGGGCAACACTTGGCCAATTTCGAAGAAGTGCAAAATTAGTTGGATGAATAGTTTCGGTCCAAAGACGCGTCGTTTTATCGTCGCGGTATTCATGTATTGCCAGAGAGATGGCAAAAATGTGTAGCTAGCGAGGGACAATACTTTGAATAAACCATTTTTTTTGTATTTCTCTTGAAATTTTCCATTTTTCATTGATCAGAAAAACCCGGAAACTTGGTTGCGTACCTAGTAAAGCATCCTTAAAAGATCCTTCTAAAGATCCTTCCACATCAATTTTCCATGTTAAAGCGTTATTTCATAAAATCTAAGGTATCCTTAAATAATTCTTCTAAGGCCTTTCTCAACTTTTCCTATCAAAGCCTTATTTCGTAAAATCTAAAATATCCCTAAAAGATCCATTTCGGGGCCTGATGTGATAATAATGAGGCATCCTTTTTTAAGGCATCTTTCAGCCTTATCGGGGCCTTATGCTTCATGAGGATGGCTCTAACAATTTTTTGCTCCGGATGCAGATGGTACTTTAGTCTGCAATGACCCGTATAAAAGCCAGTTAGAATGGCTAGTTTCGTTTTCTCCGGGAAGAGTGCTATGTTTCTGATAATTATCGTAATGATAATTTTTAATATATTCTCAAACTCCATTTATACGCAGATCATTAACGTACCAGGACGCGATATTTTTCGCAATTTTTAAATAAATTAATAAAAAAATTAATAAAAAAAATTAATAAAATTTCTATAGTGTTCTAAACAATCACGAATAAATCATTTCTTATTGATGCGCAGACTAAAGAAAAATATTCTATTGAATATCAAAATGTATATTTTCTATCTTTTATAATGTTTATTTTTATATGTTTAAATATTATTAATATGTTTTATATGTTTAAATATTATAAATATTATTAAATATTATTTTATGTTTATTTTTAATCTATAATTTTTATCTTTAGCCGTGAAACACTCACACACATCTGGCTCTAGTTTTCTCTCCGTTTTGATCGTTTCCACATCGGTCTATCGATGAATTTTATATTTCACTCGACAGAGCGGCAACCGTTTTTCATCTATCGCACGTCCCGACATTTCGTCATTCCAGCCGAACGAAAAGCAGAGACAAATGGAACTGCGTTCGCAACAATACTAACGATAAATCGTTTCTCTGCGGTCGTACTTTATTGCAGCCGAGGAAGATTCCGGGATACGCACGTTGCAAATAATTGAGAAAGCCAATTTGTTCAAACGTACCTGCGATAACGGATCACCATCACCCTTGATGTGCAAACCGCCCACCCCGATTATAGATGGCGTGTACGGCCTGATTCCGTGCAATGCGGGATGCGTGTTCACCAGATACAAAGATACATCGTTGTACAGCTCCTTGATGGACGTGTTTTCGATATCAAAGTACTTCCTCACATATTCCACCTGGAAGCTCGTATAGTAGTGGATCTGTATGGAGATCATATTTGTCATGAGAAAGTTGATGAATCGCTCCTTGAAGTTCATGTCTTGCTTGAACGCCGAAAATAGGTTCGGGATGAAGGCGAGATTGCATGGATTGCCGGACACTTCGTTGAGCCAGTCGTGGAAGGCGGTGGTCATTATGCCTACCATCGGGACTTTGAGCAGACGACCGAAGGCCAAGTAACATGGCGCCATAAACACCTGTGTGTGCAATGTTAATCGTTCTATTAATTCATTATTCGCCGGGTCATCGTTGTCGTAGACTATGATGGTGATGATGACGACAATGAGGAGTTATGACTCTCGATCGCATGCGCTCACTGAAAATATAGATCAAGCCACACTTATCTCGGGGCAAAGACGCGCGGGTTTTGCGCGTATGAATGAATGGATTAAGGGGGAACATCACTGTGACGGGCCCAAAAAAGCTCTTTTTCACGAATTTTTTTACTACTTAATAAATTATTTAAGGTTGAGATATGTTAAGGACATTTCGAAGTAGTTTTATACAAATTTTTATTAAAAAATAATAAAAATTTACAAAGATATATACAACAGAGTGCCGATAAAAAATTCTTCTTCCAACAGTGGATTCGATATCTCTGGCATGGTTCATGTGAAAAAAAAATCAAATATTTTCTTAATCTGCATAAATATAGTTTTCGTTAAGCGTTAAGCGTAGCCGTTCTTTTTTATTTTGAAAATTACTATTTTTTAAGACCCCTTGAATGAAAAAAAGTTTTAGAAAATTCGAGTTTTTTTTAACATGCGGCTCTTTTGAGAAAAATTAATTCAAAAAACGGCTACGCTTAACAAAAACTACATTTATGCGAATTAAGAAAATATTTGATTTTTTTTCACATGAACCATGCCAGAGATATCGAATCCATTGTTGGAAGAAGAATTTTTTACGGACCGGCACTTTGTTGTATATATCTTTGTTAATTTTTATTCTTTTTTAATAAAAATTTGTATAAAACTACTTCAAATTGTCCTTAATAGTGTCCTTAATAATATACTCTTCCCCTAATCTTTAAATAATTCATTAAGTAATAAAAAAAATTCATGAAAAAGGGCCTTTTTGGGCCCGTCACAGCCGTGTTTTCCCTTAACAGTCACTTAGCGATACGCTGAGCCGCACTTGTTAACCGGCTTGTTGCACAAGGGGAACTGGTCTACTATTATGGTGACACTTGTATCACGGTAGCGACGACAGAGATGAATGCGACGTACCGTGTGGAATATGACGAAAAAATGTTTGAAATGACGAGATGACGGTGTCACACGACGTCGGATGGTGTCGCACTTACGTCGATTATTAATATCGATGAAGATTTATGATAAGGATCATATGACACGCTCGTTGGCACGTTGACTTCTGCTTATTGCTCGAGTTCAACTGATGATTGATTCATCAATAATAAATCAATGTAATTCGAGGTGCATGTATGTTCTTTTTATGTCCCTCTCGGCCATACTGCTGATTTCTCCAAATGCAATTTGTTGTATTTATGCGCGACTTAATGAGTGTGCAGTATCGTAGTGCCGTCACCGGTGTTTAAATAATAAGTTAATCGATACGATAGAAAAATATAAATCGAGTCGCATGTATTATTCATTTGATTCCATTGGCTCTCTATCGGCCATACAAGCAATTTTTCAAATGTAATTAATTATATTTTATGCGGGATTTAGTGTATCAGTCACCGGTGACCGTCACATTATTTAATTAATAATTCAGTTATCAAAGATATGGTAAGTAAAAGTAAATCGAGACGAGTATATTATTGATTTGGTTTCGTTCATTATTTATCGGCCGTATAGGCAATTTTCCAAATATAATTAATAATACTTTTACGCGTTGCATAATGAGATATGCAACGGTATCGATTGCGATAGTACGATTGCGATAGTATATTCCACATAGCACACTTTATTTCAGGGACGTCCGATAGATATCATTCTGGGATACCGCAATATCTTGGGGATATACAAATATCCGCTGTTTTAGATCCTGCGGATATCCCTTTTAATAACTTTCAGTTCCTTTTTAGAAATTTTTAGTTTCGAAGAATTGCTACTAAAAGAGATATCCGTGGGATATCTGTATGATCTAAAACAACGGACGTTTGTATATTGGCATCCTACAACAATATCCTTAGGATATTGTTGTAGGATGCCCCTAGGATAACGTGTGTTGTGTGAGATATATGGATTTTTAAGGCAGATGAAGAAACGAAGCAAGACGGAAAGTGAGACCATATATACAGGGTGGCCCACGTAAAGTGTTATAAGTCCATAACTTTAAAAATATATTGGGTTGTCCGGAAAGTTCGTGCCGATTTTTGGTAGGTGGCATAAGGACAGGTCTGAATATATCAGAACGATTGAAAACAAATAATATGCGTACATATCGTAAAAGACGGTACTTCAGGCATATTTGGAAAAAAATTTGGTTACGATACGTTAATTTTTGTTAGTTTTATACGCCTTTGAATATGGAAGAAAACAAAGTGCATTTTAGGCATTTAATGCTTTTCTTTTACCGGAAAGGCAAAAATGCCACACAAGCGGCAAACAAGATATGCGCTGTTTATGGCGAAGGTGCTGTAGCTGAAAGAACTGTGCGGAAGTGGTTTGCTAGGTTTAAAGCTGGTGATTTTAACCTTAAAGATCAAGAACGTCCGTCTAGGCCCTCCACCACAGATGAAGATCAGATTAAAACACTGATCGAGAATAACCCACGCTATACGACACGTAAATTAGCAGAAATGTTAAATATGTCAAAATCTACCATCCACGAGTATTTTGTGAAGCTTGGCTACATAAACCGTTTTGATGTATGGGTTCCCCACGATTTAACGGAGAAAAATCTGATGGATCGTATTTTCATTTGCGATTCGCTCTATAAACGCAACGAGGAGACACTATTTTTGAAGCAAGTAGTGACGGAGGATGAAAAATGGATCATTTATAATAATGTTGAGCGAAAAAGATATTGGGGAAAGCGGAATGATTACCTCCTTTAGCCACCCCAAAAGCCGGTCTTCATCCAAAGAAGGTCATGCTTTGTGTCTGGTGGGATTGGAAAGGGATCCTGTATTATGAGCTTTTACCAAACAACGAGACGATAAATTCAGAGAAGTATTGTTCCCAATTAAACGAATTAAAGACAGCAATTGAACAAAAACGTCCAGAAATAGCGAATCGGAAGGGCGTCGTGTTTCATCAGGACAATGCACGGCCTCATGTGTCTTTGATAACTCGACAAAAGTTGTTGGAGCTCGGTTGGGATGTTCTATCCCATCCACCACATTTACCAGGCCTCGCGCCCTCTGATTTCCACCTATTTCGATCATTACAAAATTCCCTTAATGGAAAAAACTTCAACTTTTTGGTCGAAATAAAAAATCACGTAGAAAAGTTTTTCGCTGAAAAACCTGAGAGATTCTGGAAGGACGCAATTTTCAAGTTGCCTGAAAGATGGAGAAAGGTTGTAAAACAGAATGGCACCTATATAATTTAATAAATATATACTAAAATTTAAATCTCCTGCGTTTCAATTTTCCTTCAAAATCGGCACAAACTTTCCGGACAACCCAATATATCAAATCAACAAATTCTTCATAAGGAAGTTTCATGTATTCGAGAGGCCTCTCTAACTACATAAACGTAAAGCCGTCCCTGTTTCCCTTTTAAGGAGAGACGGGAGTAACTTCATAATTTTAAACGAAACCGCCTATAAAATGTTGCATATTTGGGTTCTACCGGAAAAAACAAATAAATTTTATCCGAAACATTTGTTTGTATGTATGTATACAGGGTGTTATAAAAGGGAAGAACAGAATAACTCGAAAAATATGAGTCCCAGAAAAAATGCGAAGTACTAGGTTTTTATGATTTTTTCCTGGCTATCTGAAGGTGACCTTGGATTTGACCTTGACAATGACCTTGAAAGTTATTCAAGGTCAGGTCAATTTTTTTTAACGGGACCCCATACTTTTGACTCCAGAAATGAAAAGAGCGGAAAATTTTACGTTCGATTATGACCTTGAACACTGCCAAGTTTGACCTCTGAAGATCACATAAAGATCTAAGCTTGTTTTAGGCTGAAAACGCGAATATCTTCGAAAATGCATCTGCTAGGGAGCAATGTTATGCATAAGAATAAGAATGTAGAGATCAACAAGGAACATTTAACCGTGACCTTGCCCTTATTCTCAAGGTCATGAGTTAAGATTATTATTAAGGTCAAACCGGACTTTTTTAGGACTGAAAATCCATACTTTTGACCTAAAAGTGTCAATATTGAAAAATTTTACGTTCGGATATGACGTTTTCAACTGTGACCTGTCAAACACACTGTCAAACGGTCAATGGGGAACATTTTGAACATTTCTTGTAATCTCAGGCCGAGCTACAAGATGCTTTGCCTTCGGTGGCCGGGACTAACTGCTATAGCAGTAGAGTAGTGGTAAGACGTTTGACTCGAGAGATGAGGTCCCGGGTTCGAGCCTCGCAGAGTGCCCAAGGAGATTTTTCCAAAAGTAATATGCAAATTAACCACCTGACCAAGAGCTAGAATCACTAACAAAGCCTAATATGAATAATAAAAATTTAATATGTAGATTACGCTAATTTTTATTCTGGTGATTCAAATTTCTGTCATTTTCAGCCTTGGGGATAGGTATGACCACTCAAAACATTCCTCCTCCACTCGACCCTCCAGCGCCACTAGACCATGCCCACCGGGCCGGCGCCGAAGGGTCGAGTGGAGGAGGCATGTTTTGACTGGCCATACCTACCCCCATACTACTTTCATAAAAAAAAACGAGGACTGGATCTTACAGGAAGACAACGACCCAAAACACTGGAGCAAGCTTTGCACCGAGTGGAAAGAGCAGTCTGGCATCGTCACACTTGATTGGCCATCGCAGTCGCCAGATGCAAATCCCATTGAAAATGTGTGGGTATATCTCAAGCACAAGCTTCGAGGAAAAAGAGTGTGCACTTTGAAGCAGCTGATACGACAAATTCGTCTCATTTGGAGGTCTTTACCGAACGAATACGCAGTCAACTTATTGGAAAGTATGCCTCGGAGATGCTAGACAATTATCAATGCTGGTGGTGACTGGACTCATTAATGGTATAGCATTTTGCTTCTCATGGAGTACAACAAATCCATGTACTTGAAAATCATT